ACAGCATCCGCGTATATTCATGTGTATTCACATATATTGGAGGGGGAACAATCACTGTTTTGTTTAGAAAAGGGACATTTCAAGAGCTGGGGCTGTGGCCAGAGCAGAGCCAACTTATGGGGCATGGAGCAGATCCCTATGGCATGAACCCCAGCTTGCCATGGCCCCGGGAATGCAGGGAAGCAGGAAAGGCTCCATCTCTTCTCATTTCTGCTGGGGCCCAGGGGCTTTATTTGGGATCAGGGCAGTTTTTGCACTGCCAGCAGCACTGGGGCTGGGGAGCAGCTGATGGATCCCTGGATTTACTTAATGAATTGATTATGTTCTTTCTGTTGTTTTCTCATCTGCATCAGCAGCTCCTGCCAGCCGAAGAAGGGAGAGCAATTTGTCTCTTTGTGGGGAGAGGAAACACACAAAATAGAGCAGTTCCTTGAGACAAAGACATTGTCATGCAATAATCAGTGGAAGCGTTGGGGAACAGCGCACAGAGAAATGAGTAATCCATAAGGAACAGCCTCCCAAGAGAGCAGTTTTCCTTGTAGGACTGCAGCATCCCCTCTGCCTGCTGTCAGCACGGCGCCTGCCCTTGCCTGGTCCTGCAGCTTGCTTGGGGTGATGGAGGGCAGAGCCCCCTAGAACCTGCCCTGGGGCTGGGTTACACTCCGGGAGCCCCTCCTGGGCTGCAGCATCCTCATGGGGACCACTGGAGCAGAGCCTGGTGGATGCTTCAAGTGCCACCTAACCCCATGACCATGTGCCAGACTCCTCTGCTGGGTTTTCCCTGCGATGAGGGTTTATCCACTGGGACAGGAGAGCTCACAAAGCCCAGGGAGGACCCAAACCCCATCCCTGGCTCCCCCACATCCTCCCAGGCTTCCAGCATGCTGGAAGAGCCACCCGCTCCTGACCTCGCCGGGCAGCTCCTACCTGCAGAGACAAAGAAGATGCCGGCGCTGAGGATGACGTTGTGTTTGCTCTTGTAGAACTCGCTGGCCGCCACGCAGAGGCCCCCAAAGAACAGCAGACCCACGCTGAGGATGGGGAAGATGCTGGAGGCTCGCACTGCTCCTGCGGGACATGGAACGGGAAGGGAAAGCATCATTGCAGTGCCCCCCTTGGTTACTGCCACAAGGGATGGGCAGACCTAGCACCAGTCCCTCTATGAACCCTCTGCTTGTCCCTGAGCTGCTCTGGAGCCCAGTATCAGCCATGTAAACCCTGTGATTCAGGCCTCCCATCCCAAAATCAGCTTAAACCCTGAATTTCTTTCTTTTATCCTCCTAGGAAACCTAAGGAGTTACTTCTCCTGATCTTGCCACACACTCAACACTAGCAATTTACCTTCCTGTTACCAAACACACCACCCATGGGTTTTGACATTGACTTGAGTCTGAGATTGCAGAACCAGGCTGGCAAGGACCAGTACCACCAGCCACAAGGGTCCGGAGCCTGTTTCTTGCCTCCCCAAACTCTCTCAGCTGCTTTGAAAGTCAAGAATTTCCAAACTAACACACCAAGAAATTCAACAAAAAATCATTTTCTGGTATAGGGAGAAACATCATCAAAGTGGTTAAAAAGCCCAAGACCCAGAGCACACCACATGCAATGCCATGGCTCCAGTGCTGGCCTTAAATCCCATGGAATTAACTGTGGCAGCTCCTGGCTCTGCACGCTCAGGAGTCACTGGCTGAGCCCCAGACAGAGAAGGGGCTTTTCTCCATGGCTTCTCAGCAGTTCAGCTTCCAAAACGACAGCAAAGAGTAAGTAATGCAGCAAAACTCTACCTGCTGCATCGAAAATACACTGTGCCTTGGTTTGGGCTCTCATACCTCTCTTAGGGCCTTTATTAAAAGCACAGAAATAGAGAGGAGCCCCATTAAAATGCCATTCGGGGGCTTTAAAATAGACTTTTCATTTTAAATGTGGGAGGGGGTGGGAGAACTGAAACGTTAATCTGCTAAAATTGCAAACCTGCTCCGTTAAGTTCATTCCCCCCTCAGATGGGTGAGCGGAGCTGATGGCTCCCGGAGGCACTGGGGAATGGGAGTTCAGAGCAACATCTGGATGGGCAGCAGCTGCGTCGGGCAGCG